AAGTACTTATCGGTTGATCAGTCCCTTATGCACCCCAAATACTATCAAGAATACTCTATTATCATTTCACAGTATAATGAGGACGTGGTATTGTAACAGTTCATTAATCCCATTTAGAGCATTAGAAATAAGTTCTTACGACTGGTTCAATATGTAGTTAATGTCCTGCCGGATCCCATTGCTTATTTGATATACGTTCGATAATTTTGGGGGCAACACGTTAAAGGTGAAAGTTAGCTACATTTTTCGTAACTGCTTGGCTCTCAAGGCCTGTCGGTAATGTTTCTCGTTTGTGATTTCTTCTTCATATGCATGGAAGCCGGTCCCACTTCCAGCATTTTATCCGGCCAAGGGCTGTCACCCTTACGGCGTCCTCACACTGGCTGGTGTTGAAACCAACCCTGGCCCGACGGATTTTTTCTGCTGCGTGTGCCAGAAGAGACTCCACCACTTTTTGTTGTTGTTGTAGCGGTTCGCTAACCCCGCTTAGGCACAGGTTTGATCAGTTTAAGTCGCCGAGGTCATCTAGTGGGAAGTCCAGGAAACGAGCTGTTTCGACGGGATTGGACCAAAGGGAGACGGGGGTTAGATGAGTTGGTTTGAGAGGGCATGTGAAGAGGTGGTTAGTGTCGAGCGGAGACTCTCCACATGCAGGACATACGTTGGGCATGCTTTAGTCTGGTCTGGATAAGTAGAAGTTTGACCTGCTACAATATCCAGACCTAAGTGACCCTGGGTCTCTCGAGGAAGCTCGAGTTCGTTGTCTGCTATAGGTGGTGATTTTTCTCCGAGTACGCCATTCACTGGAAGGGACTCTCACGACAGCCGGTTCTACGCACCGGAGATGACCCGGATTTTATCCGACCTAACCACGTTTAGGTCAACATGTAACATTCGACTCCACCACTCATCTATCTTGGTTAGATGCAACTAGTGCAATGGTTGAAGTCATCTTAAGGCCGCCTCAGGGAGTGGACCACAAGTTATGTTGCTCCATGCTGCCAACTCCGAAATGCCCCCCTAGCCTCCACGGCAGTGCCTTCAATACCTTTACCCACTTTGGGTAAACAATAGACCTCTACGGTCTCACGGAGCTCCCTACATCATAACAACCAACAACATAAGCGGCAAGAATTGCGACCATGGTGTCGTCTTAGCGTTCATCCTACACAACACCGTGCAGTATCGTCTTATCGACGGCGACATCGAACGCAAGGATACTACCCTAGAAAGTCAGGACTATCCGGTCAGGCGATGTCGAGCTCGAGATATTTAATATATATATCCTGTTACAAGTTGCCCAGTTGGATACAGCCCTGATATAGGTGCGCTATTTAGAGACGAAACCCGTTTGGTTTTAACGACTTTAACGCGCATCACGATCTTTGGCACTCTAGCCTCTCAAATGAGCTGCCATAACAGATAGACTATTCAACATTCTGCACAATGAACGATAACACCCCCACCAGAGTTGTTGGTAAGTACAGCTTGGGAACCTGCACTGACACTAGCATCGGACCACTTACCCATTCAAATCTCGATTGACAGGACGCCTTCAGTGCTCTCCCCACTCCAACAGACGTGACTTCTGGTGAACGTTTCTACCGCAGAGTCATCGTGACCGCTGTCCCTACTCTATCCCGGCAGGCCAAATCGCGGAAATCAGCCCCAATTTTCCAACAGCAGCGGCGGTTTTAGCTCTTCGTAAAACCGATCCCGGGAATCCCCTAATCAGGGCTTCAAACGCGGATATTCGCAAAGTAGTGAGTAATCACAAGCGGAAAAAGTGGGAAGAGCACTTAAGGCCTTCCATCTCGGCCCTAGGGCAACCAAGCCCTGAGCTACAGCCAAGTCGTTATCTAACCCAATGAAACGCGTTGACCGAGTGGAAATTTCAATCGGTGATCCCGCCTTGTCGGATCCGAAGAGATGCGCGAGCTATTTTAGCCAACTTTTTTCACTGGATCTTTCGGTAGACAAAACGAAACGACGTGTAATCCGCTGTATGTGTAAACTGCCAAACACCAGCGTGGCGCTTGACTTCTCCATGAAAGTAGTTCAGGGGTGCATCGGGAAGGCGAAAGCCTCCAAATCAGTCGGTCTCGACGGAATAAGCATGCTGATGCTGAAACATCTTGGACCAGCGGGAGCAGAATTTCTCGCGAGGGTCCTCAATTTGTCTTTGACCACCCTGATGATACCCGACATGTGGAAAATGGGTAGGGTGGTCCCGCTACTAAAACCGGGGAAACCAGCCAACAAAGGAGAGTCCTATCGGCCGACAACTCTCCTCTCCCCAGTAGCGAAGACACTTGAGTCCTTACTGCTCCCGACCTTCACTCACCATCTGCCTCCAGCAGCGCATCAGCATGGCTTCCGAAAAGTGCACAGCACCACAACAGCACTTATCGCCAAGCTTTTGACACAGTCAATCATTCAGTGCTACTAACGGACATTGAGGAATCCTCATTACCGCCGGGGTTGCAGAGGTGGGTCATGGGCTACCTGAGAGGTCGACAATCATCGGTAATATTCCGAGGTAAAACATCTAAGCCCAGAAAAATTAAACAGGGGGTTCCGCAGGGTGGTGTCCTCTCCCCGCTACTGTTTAACTTTTACATATCGAAACTCCCTCCACCACCAGAAAGAGTTTCCCTAACCTCGTATGCCGATGACTGTACGATAATGGCGTCCGGCAAGGATATTGATGACCTCTGCTCGAAAGTAAACGGCTACCTCGCTGATCTCTCCCACTTCTTCACTGCAAGACAATTACGAATCCAACCGACAAAATCCTCGGCTACCCTTTTCACTAGCTGAACGAAGGAATACAGGCTTGAACTGGATGTAAAGGTCGATGACGAAAAAATTCCGACGATAAATAACCCAAAAATATTGGGAGTAACTCTAGACAGCCTGCACTCCTTCATTCCGCATACGACCGCAATTGCCGCAAAACTCCAGAGCCGCAACAAAATACTCAAAGCGCTAGCCGGCAGATTGAGGAATCCTCATTACCGCTGGTGTTGCAGAGGTGGGCCATAGGTCGACAATCATCGGTAATATTACGAGGTGAAACATCGAAATCCAAGAAAATTAAATAGAGGGCCAGACGCCTTTATCGTTCAATCATCGGTATACGAGGGTAAGGACCCCAATGGCAGTAATACTCTAGAGCCACAGCAAAATAATCAAAGCGCTAGCCGGCTGCACCTGGACCTCCCACTAGATGACCTCGGCGACTTAGATTGAGTAAACCTGTCCCTGAGCGGTGTTAACGAACCGCTACAACTACAACAACATGAATGCCCGTCCGTGGCAAAAGCTACATCTATGGATTGCTTGTTACGTTCTTTAATACGGTGTTTAGATATTTCTGTAGCAAACCGCCAATCCCTGAATCCGATGAGTACCCCCGCCGGTAGTAAAAGCTACATCTATAAATTTCCCATTACGGTCTTCAAGACGGCGTTTAGACAGCTTTGCAGCTTCGTCATCTGCGCACCACTAATCCCTAGGCTACAGATTGGTGCAACATAATTTATCGACCGTCTCATCAATCCTTTTATAAATTGCCAGCAAAGTTTTGTATCTTTGGCCAGGTGATATGAAGATTTTGCTGTGAGTCTACTGATTTTTTTAATGGTAAATGACGTCCTCATCGTGTCAGTATTTTTTCTTCGGATTTAGTAATAAGAAGGTCTCAATTCTGTTCGAGAGACGCCGGACGAAACTGTTCCCGTTGGCGGTTTTCCCCAATTTCAAGAGTGGGACCACTTTCCTAGTTAGAGTGATCAAAAAAAGGTTGGAACACTTATGTGAGATAGGCCAGATCGACTAGCTCCAGATTTTTAAGCATGCGTATATTTATTACGTTAGGACCCGGAGCGGTAGCTCACTTGTCTTTAGGTGCAATCTACCCAGCTCAATGAAGAAATCCTGATAAATCCTAACGAGAAGCGGTAACCGCTTGAAATTTTCAGTCGATCATCGCATCTTGTTGAGTTAAATGGTGATTTTACAATGGCTGAACACCTCTCCGCATACCCCCTAAGATCAACTCATCTTACCCTCTCCCTGGTTCAACCAGTAGTAGTAACAGCCCGATTACTGGTCCTCCCTTGTTTATTCTCGATTAACAACAACACTATTCGAGATCGGTGCCTACAACTATTAGCACCAGTCATCACTTCTAACCAGAAGTATTTGAAAGCAGACAAATTAAAATATGGAATTTAGTAAAATAAAATAAAATAGAATGAAAGAACCTTCTTGTTAAAAAAAAACATGTGCATATTAAAAATGAATACAACACTCTACAAAACAATAACAAAATTAACTCGTTGGCCTTATCTGTACTCTACTTCGGTAACAATTAAAACGAGCGTGCGGGGGTATATGTAAGTATCACTAAGTATGTAAATATACATATATATTAATTTAGTACATACATATGCATTTGTATACATGTAAAAATTTTGGCACTTGAAAGACTTTTTCGTCATCATTATTTAAACCACAGCAAACCTCTTTCATAAAAGCAGCCATATTAGAATTGCACACGCCGCTTCTTATCTGTTGCGCAGGTAAACAAACGACAATATCGACAGCTTTGATAATAAGAGTACTACACCACCTACTATCCGTGGTTATACATACATACACAAGTATTTACAAACAAAAAGAGTGAATATATGCGTAAAGGCTCATTAGGCGTGAGTACTACAACCTACCACACCTAGGAATTTAATGGGCTTATAAATAAATAAAGTCATGGTACTTATGTAAGTCGTTCATAAGCGTTAACGCATGTCTACACAGAGAAAGAATTAAATTATTTAAATAAGTTTCCATGAATAATAATAATAAATAAAACCAAGAAGTATAATAACAAAAAAATTACAATAGCTATTTTGTGATTGTATTTATATTAAAAAATATGATACCATTGTATACATACATATAAAATATAAATGTATACATTTTATTTTTGCCCTAACTAATTTGTTTACATTTTCTTAATTTACGAACCTTATTTTGATATTAAAATTATATTTTTTATTTTAAGTAAATTATTGCTCATTCTTCTTCCTTAATGCAATTCTCCACTAGCTCGCGCAAATTTGGATTCTCCATGGCAGCAGCGATTCGCTCTTTGTCGTTTATTTGTTTATTAACTAATGAAAAAAGTCATATATTAATAGTATACTTTGAAAAAATTATGGAAATATTTGTTTTACTCTCGTCTTCTGTTGCATGTGCACCCTTCTTAATGTAAATGTCCAATTTAATATTATGTGGTAGACTGCGTTCCACTTTAACGCGGATGCACAGACCGATAAGTGTTGCTAAAGAACAATGTGGCACCGTGGGATTGAATTCAATTCGAACCTATAGGTACAAAAACAAATTCTTAACTTATGGGCGTTACAGCTACATATGTAAAAACAAGAAATATTGTGTATGTAAGATATGGTATAAAATAACATAAACACACATTTTTGTGGAACACTTTTACATACTTATATAGGTATGCATGGATTCTACAAGTCGCATATCCAATTGGATATTCCAATAAACCACTTACCACTGAAACATTTGATTTCGTTGACGGTTGTACCATTATGCCATCCTCATAGACCACATTCAGATCCTCCAACGTACAAGGCTTTTCCGGATCGCGAATGGTTCTCAGCGCATCTATGCAAATGGATAAAATTTAAAAAAAATTTTAATAAATGTTTGTATCAGATTTTTTAAATATTTTAGATAAAACATCCACTAGTTGCCTACCATAAACAGTTTCCTGCAAATCAGTTGCATTTCTGTAGCCCAACTCCTGAAGCAACGCATCTTCAGCAATTGGTATGGCCTCATTTTCCAAAGACATTTGTTTAGTTTTCTGAACAAGTATATTATCAACTGCGGTATTCGCAAGCGTTGCGTTGCTACCGCTCCCTGCTGATTCCGTCTCCGATAGTTTTCGTCTGATGAAAGACAGCATTATCTATTCTATTTTCAAATCAACAATTTGTACTTTTGCCCCTCGTCAATATGCCACTGTAGCCGCTTTTATTTATCTCGTTTTTACGGTCAGCAGGTTGTTCGTACGCTTTGTTGCGCTGTGAGAACTTATAAAATATTTAGTCAATATACAAAATGTCTTTGAGTGAATGTGAACAATAACTAACTCGCGCTTTTAGTTATCTTGGAATAAGTAATAATTTACTTTATTTATTTCCACCCTATGTTGTGCTAAAACCCGTCTTGCACTATTATGTTTTTGTTTAATGTTATTTAATAACATCTGTTCCAGAGAACGTATTTACGTTCTCTGGTCTGTTTTTTTAGCAAACGTCAGATCAAAACAATGTACGATGTCGTTGGAGAACACAACAAAACCGATGAATGACCTGAATAAAGCATTATCAGCTGATTAATGTATATCGCGGTTTTTCTGCAAATACGATCCAAAAAAAGCAGTAACAGCTAGAGGAGCTGCCATATTCTCAAAGTAAACATTTGGAACTTCTTAAAATTTTCGCCAATTTGTCAAAAGTTTCATAAAGCTGAAGGCATTCACGGCCGTGCTCCATCTCCACTTGGCGTAGTGCGCATAAACGGTTTTTCGACACATGCAATTACCCAAAGTTTTTTCTACACTGGGTAGATCTTATTTTAAGACAGTATTACTCCCTGAGAGATGAATATTTATTGTTCATGGGCGACCCTAAAAAGGTATTTTCTTTTTAATTTTTTGCTCCGGCTAGATTTTTCGCGGAGGGATTACTATTCCCTTCCGAAGGCCAACCGCGACATATGGTCTATTGAAAATTTTGCACCGGTCTTTCAACTAACTTAATGTTCAAATAATAAGTTCTATGTTGATAAATTTTAGTGGCTGGCATCTGCTTTAAAGTAATGCTTAAACAAAGTTGATTCAAACTATTTAATGGAAAGAATTATTAACTTGGACTCACAAGAATCCCTCATATCATTGAGGGCATAAGATTGTTACAGGAGCTGCCATATTACATCAATTTTAGTTTCCACCCTTATCAGTTGCCCTAGTGTGGTACGCAGCTACTTCTAGAATAAATTAGTTTTCTTGTAAAACTTTTTAGTTTTTGGTTATTGTATCGGTGCCCCAAAACGATTGCAATAGAACTTTGCATTTGGAAAATAGAAAATATAATTTTGAAGAAAAATATATTAAAGCCAATCGAGCCAAATATTGACATACATAATTCGACATAATCATTAGTAGTTAGGGGTATGTATTTTACGGTAATAGGTGTACGAAGTTCGAAATGCTTTACGGCTTTGTAAAGTACAGCAAATCTTTTAGAGCAAAACGAGACATATGTGAGGTTAATCGTTAATTAAATGTTGAGAAATATTTAAGAGTAGTACCACAGTTTTAGATAAGTGCAGCAGGTAATATCCTGGTAAACTTAACCCCCGGCTGTCAATTAGCTATTTACATGTGATATTGACGGAAAATATAAAATTTATCCAGTTTACATATGAGCTGAAAGGCAAAAGCTATTGGAGGGTATAAGCTTTCTGGTAATAAAGCAGATTACAGCGCAACTTCACTCAGTAAGGGCTCCTTTGGTTCGCGTATTTCAACTATTGGCAGCTAATATAAATAGAACAGCACATCGTTGTTGTCAAAACGTCTTGGAATTATACCGCAGTCGTGAAGTTATCAAATCTTGTGTGGTAATCCTTGTCGTCGTTTTTTCCAGTCAGCATCTTCTTCTATAATATGTTTACCTACATATGTATGTGTAAACATTAGTAGCTATCTCACCATGCATGCAAAGTTAAATTAAAAACATTTCCAACAGTATACTTCGAGCATTTAACTTTGCCGCCAATTAGTTTATTTGGTCAGTGGAAACCAAACTGCGTGGTACGCGAGCGATTTGAAATTGCGATATACATTCTTTTTCAATAATAAAACTTCCCGTATTCCTCGGAATAGCCATCGTTACAACAAGTACGACGAATTCTTAACTTCAGGGTTTTTTGTTCAATTATATAGTGTATTCAACTTTTTAAACTTTTAAAGAAAAAACACTTGTTAAATTCGGCTATTTTGTATATTCACAGGATTAATTGTCTTTTGTGAGGCGTTAATTTCGAAATTAAAAAATTTCTTGAATTCAGTTCGTTCGGAAAAGTTCGTTTTGCTAGAAGAGAAAAAGGAGTTCAGCTGCTTCAGGTAAAAATGTGTGGAATTTTGGATTTTTTCAGACCTTTTGCAAGTACTAACAGCAAATTCTGGAGAACCAATGTAGTTTAACCAGTTTAGTTTCATAAGAAATAAGAAATGATAAAATTTAGATTTTCTTAACAAAAAAAAAAAAAAAAAATTATCTAAATAAATGTATTGTAATATATATTAATGGTCACTGAAAATACAGGTTTGATATAATTTTGTTTAAAAGTTAAGCTGTTGTTTATAATGAAAATATTATCAATAGACATGCATATTTTATTTTTATTACAGCTAAATTAGTATTATTTATTATTTACAGCGCATTTAACTATTCGTTTTATTCCGATTTCACTTGGATTGTTTTTATTGGAAATATAACAAAATGGTCGCTTCGTCAAATGCAAGCCAAAACGGCACATTAATTTCTTCAGTCGGAGGCACCGCTAATGGAGTAATCACCAATGGCACAGTCAATGAGGCTAATGCAAGCAAGACTTTGGCCAAGGGCAAATACACTTTGGTGGGCATCGATATTGACACAACGGGACGTCGACTCATAGATGAGGTAAATAAAACATTAAATTTAAAATGGGAAATAATAAATTAATATAATTTTGTTTTCAATTTAAAAAAAAAATTTCAACAATATTTATTGTTTGCTCTGCTTCCGTTTTACAACTAATCCATTTTACTGTTATGAAGTCATGAACTTCTTTGTAGTTTTTGTGCACTTTATTCTTGTTATTGTATTTATAACTGCACTTAAAAAAATCGGCATTTTTTTATGCTTTTTTCTATTGTTTGCTGGACCAGATGTTGCGTACCTTTTATATATGTCTTCACCACTTTGTCTCATAAGGTCACTGACCTTTGCTTTTGGCTGTATTTTGTTATACAATTTTATTTGTTTTTGCTACTCTCTACAAACTGATATGAGTACTAACGTATTTATGCCATTATCGTTTACCTGTACACTGTGCGAACTAACTCGTACTCGTTGGCGGGGTGGGGTTAATACACAAGTTCCTTAATGTTTTTTAAATATGTAAATCTTTTTCCCTCAGATTGTTCAGTTGGCTGCTTATTCTCCAAAAGATCATTTTGAACAATATATCATGCCATACATGAATTTGAATCCTGCCGCTCGTCAACGTCACCAAGTACGTGTGATCTCAATTGGATTCTATCGTATGCTAAAATCAACGCAAACCTATAAGGTATTAATTAATAATAAAATATATAATTTGTTAAATATTTATCTACCTTTTTCGTAAATATTATTAAACTTTTAAAATAGTAGGCATCTTGCTAAAGTATCTTCCCTCATTTCATAAACTCCATTTAGATTATCAAGTCCAAATCGGAGATCGCTGCCTTGAAAGATTTTCTTGATTGGCTGGAAGCGCTTAAAGCCAAGGATGCAGCATCACAAGGTATAATTCTAGTCTATCACGAGGAACGAAAATTCATTCCATATATGATTTTGGAATCGCTTAAAAAATACAATCTGTTAGATAGATTTCTTAATTCAGTCAAATCTTTCGCAAATGGCCTCACCCTGGCCAAAGCCAATGTCAACGAGTCCTTACAGCATTATTCATTGCGTAAGCTTTCTAAAGTCTTGAGTACTAAATCAGAAGGAGAAAACAAAAATACCGGCGATGGTGCTGAGATAATTAATGTAATTTCAGCAAATACAAACAACGCCAGTCAAAGTCCACAAAAATCTTTAAATAATATTAAAAGCGCTACAGCACACGAACGTGAATTGTTTGATGGCAATGCTAGTGTGCGCGCCAAGTTGGCCTTTGAGGTAGCACTGCAGTTGAGTAACCAAGAGAATAAGGCGCCCATCGACTCGACCGATGCATATGATAAGATGCTCAGCGATATACAAGCGTATGCACCACCCGTCGAATGTGATTTGAATGAACTGCAGACACAAAATGAGAATTTAGAACGTCAAAACTCGTTCCGTCCAGTGTTCTTGAATTATTTCAAAACTACACTCTATCATCGGGTGCGTGCCGTTAAATTCCGTATTATACTTGCCGAGCAAGGGTTTGATCTGCAAACATTAAATGAAATTTGGAGTGAAAAACGGAAAGACGGTTTGGCCGAAATATTGCAGGTTATTGAAGAGCTCAAGACTGAAGATAAAACTGAGTTGGCAGATTTATTTGACAGTTACTTCGATCCCGAAAAAACGACTATTAAGCCGATTGTAAAGATTAGCAATCGTCGCCGAAATAGACGCGGAGGTAAACAATGTGGCCAAATAGTTTCTAAATTATAATTTAAATTATATTTATATATAACATTTTTTATGTTTTCTTTTTTCCCTGCAGTACGCAATATGAAAAACGACGGCAGCAACAGTGCTCGTCCCTCCGGCGAGCAAGGGGCTGGCGGTGATAAACAAATAGCCGCTAGTGAGCTGCCCGATTCCACAACTAAATCGCCATCTCCGCCAAATGGTGGCGGTAAGCCACAGCGCGGTAAGCGTAATCCACGGTCCCGGAATAACTCCTTGAAAGCACAGCTACAAACCACTGTCGACGCAACAACGGCAACAGCAACAGAAGCTAATTAAGATTATGGAATTTCAATCAATCAAAACGGGTGTTGTTGCTGCAACAAAGGCAAAAGTAATACATTTTTTTACAATAAATTTGCGAAAAAAAAACAAGAAATATTTTAAGCCAATGTAGATAGTTCTAAGATATTAGAATTGTTTACAAAACTAACGGTTGAAATTGAATTCTTTTATTTTATTTTATTTTCTTTTTATTTTATGTACACATGCACACATAACACTGTGTATTTATTAGTTGAAAAATATACATTTGCATACATATTGTTATACCTGCAACAAGATAGTTATATGAAAACACACAAATATTTACCAAAAATATATATGCATACAAATATACCATTGCGGCTACAATAGGTAATTGTAGAAGACGTTAATTTAAATATTTGATTATTGAAGTTACATACATTTATAACGATATTATTATTATTATTTTATAATTATTACTCGCTTTCTTATTCATAGTGCAATTCAAATTTGTCAGTGTATTATTATGCTTTTGCCAAGACTAGGTGGACGGCAGAGGTGTAACCAAACATTACATAATTTATTTTGTAGTTTGAATAGAGTTATAAACCACAATTTATTTATTAAGTGTTAGCTATACTCTAGTTTGACATCTTGGTGGATTCTACGAGAATTCGAAAGCTTATACACTTTTATATGTTGCATATATCAAAATTAGCGCAAATTGAAATAGAGAATTTTTTTTTAAATGCGCTTTGAAATTTGTATTATCATATTAATTAATTGCGATTTATATATTTATCCTATCATGAAATATTTGTTAAAAAAAAAAAATGTAATAAGAAATACAAATTGGTAATCGTTCATGAAAAAAAAAGAACAATAAGTAAACGCTTTTTCAAAAAACGCTAGTGAGTTGAAAAATTTTGCCCATACATACAGTGCAAGTAAGTTTTTACATGCAACCAAATAAACACTATTATGGCTTTTAGACAACACACATTTTTTTAATAAATTAAGTTGGTTGAAATTATATTTTAATTTTATAAACGAAGCTAATTAAATAACATAAAATATTCACTTTAGCTCTGTTAACCGCCTAAAAAGGGTATTTTTTGTTATAAAAAAATACTGCCATTTGTAGTAAATTGTTAACACTTTATTTCTGTTTGTTTACACTACATATATTCAATACTTTATTAACAAAATCCTGCATGTTTTACAGTTTTTGGTTAAAATTGATGTCAGAAAAGAAAAGTTTAACTACAAAAGTAACACAAACATGATTGATGCGTTGCAGCTATTGTAAATTAGCTATCAAAAAAAAAAAATAACAAAAAAACTTACTCGCTCAAGAAGGTGGAAATGAATTTCAAAAGGATTGTTTGAGGGAAATGTGACGATTTCACTGATTTCGGAAGTTTCTTGCACAAAATTTTAGTGTAAAAAAATTTCAGTATGTGTCTTTTGGTGAATAATCAAATTTTTAATGAAGAAATGAAACCCAACTATCGCGCCATATTCAAAATGAACTCGTGTACATATGTACATACGCACTTGTGAATTGAGTTTATACAATAATGCCTTCAATGCCAGTAAAAAAATATTGATTTTACCGTACATAATACAAGGAAAAATTATTTAATTAATATTTCAATTTATATATGAATGTATATTTGCATACATACATATGGCATGTCTATACATATGTTCATACGAATATGTGGGCTGTGAACGCTCAAATTAAATAGCGTGATATTATAAATGCAACAAGTACAAAAATACATTCGCACTGCGGAACCTGATTAGCAGTAAAGAAGTTATCACTCATCTAAGCCAGCTCAACAACAATCACTCTTCAGCTGGCAGCCGTGTACAGGAAGTGAAAAAAATGTTTTTAATTTTTTTAGTTTATTACACAACACGTGTGGTACGCAAAAAAGAATAATCTAATCGAAATACACAAAAATATTTGTTTTCATAGAACAATATAGCGAGGAGTAGACTTAAAAAAGTACTACACATTTATTACATATACAATATATTGTTCGAAAATCAAGGAATCTTAGGGCTGATCCATAAATAATTGATAAATTTTTGAAAACCAACTACTATGTGGTTCTCTCAGTTCTTCAAAGGATTCCAACTCAATTTTAATAACAATCGGCTTCATGACAAAAAAAAATATAAATTAAATAATATAATCAAATACTTGTTAAAGAAATATCAAATCAAACTAAACGCAAATCTTCCTTAGATTAAAAGAACCATCACGTATGTGCCAATGACAGAGAAAAACAATTATATTCAGGCATTATACATTAAAAATAGGCTTAGCAGACTTACAAAATAAATCTACGTACACACATTCATACGACTAGTAGATTATGCCAATTCTTGTTGTTGTATTTGCATTGAAATACATAAAAACTCAAACGACTTACTGCAAATATAATTATTTATACACACACATATATATACATATGTATATGTTATTGAATTTTCACCGCATAATTTTCTGTAAACATGCAAAACAAAACCGTAATGTTTTTTTGTTTGAAAAGGGAATTCGCTAGAACTTTGTTGTAACTTCTTGTACTTTATTTGAAATAAAAATTCAAAAATCAATTTTAATTAACGTTTTGTAAATATTACTGTACTCGTAATTACATATTTATATGTGGGAAATACTTGTTTTTATATTATAATTCATTAATAACAGGAGCAGAGCAGCGGGTGGTAGTTTCTATGAAAAAAATCGTAAATTTTCCAGATTACTCACGTTGCGTCTACGTCTACAGCCCACGTCCTATGTACACGGTGGTGACTTATGTTTTACAAGCTACTCGCATAAGTTTCATTCCAGTATAATAATGAAGTTACCCGTTAAATGAAAATAGCTCCGTTTGAATATTGCGCCCTCCCGGTGCAGATTTTACTAAATTTTTGTCTCACCGACGCGGTTCATTGAAATTCAGTAACACGTTTTACTGACTAGCAGATCACACGAAGTTATGAGAGAAAGGAGTAGAAGCAATTGGGGGGAATATTGAAAGATTAGGAAATTATTTATTTTCTTATTTTTTTAATTTTCTCGAAAGTAGAGAGACGGAAAATATTGCTAAGCAAGATTGCTCCCAACGCCAGTGATGATAATTAATTTTATTAAAATGCTTATAAAAATACTTAAAAGCAGAAAACAATTAACTATATACATAAATGAATGGATACAAACGTAAATGCCAAAACTAACAACCAACACCTTAAAAGAGATCGTACGAAAACCGTTTATAATCAATAAAGAATACCATCAATTTTGGAGGAAAACTTATTACTACCAACTCGGTTATTTTCGTATTTAGAGTATCCAATCCATTTTCTAAAGTCTTTTTAAACAATGACTTCAACGGCATAGTTTGGAAATCAATTACAGTCTACGGCTCGCCATATCCAATCGTTTGTTGAAATCATTGCTAAGCGCTACCATAGTTTAAGTATTCCTGTCTTATATCGGTAGTTTTGGGATCCCTAGAAAAAGAAAATCAATGATATGGTGTCACATCTAGCTGAGAACCGTCCGGTAATTTAACCGGGCATTTCTGTTTCACCTGCAAAAGTTGGTTTTTATGTTGGAATTCAGACAAATTACTTATTTAGAACGGATAAGAAAGATCTCACAATCGCTCTCAACAGCATATACTCACAGACATTTAATTTATAAAGTTACTCAGCTTAAATTTCACTTGGAGTAGATTTTATTTTAGTTTAATCATGAAATGAATAAAGGAAGGTTTGATATCGAAAACCCCCAATCACTACAAGCACCCAACGGATTTTCTTTTTGGCTTATACTCCTAGTGTCTTTTTACAAAAAGGTAATTGTGGTGCGTCAATCAAGCCAATAATTTATATTTTTTTTTGAGTTAGTCGATAATGATACTTGTCAGGTATTATTCATCAGGTAAGCGTACTTTTCTTACGTACTGTGAATTTTTGCATTTTTTTTAAAAGTCGTTGGCAATACGCTTTCAGATCAGCTGAGATGTTTTTCTGGTTTATTTTTCCTCAATTTTGTCAGTTTCCAAACAGCTGCGGTCGGAAAATCGTTGTGAAAATTTATTAAAATAAACGAGGGAGGGAGGGCGCAAAACAATAATATATAGAGTGCGTGTAATTTATAATATATATCTATAAAAACGCAATAAATATAAAAGTGCTAACCTGTGCATAACAAAAGAAAAGAAAAAAAGAAAAGTCAAGTCTTATAATCGGAATTTTCCTTTGTGGCGTTGTTAGATTTTATAAAAGTTTAAATAATCCTAGTGTTCTATGTGTAACGAAGTGCGTGGACTGTCAATCGCGATGATGGAAGAGTTAGCTGAGGAAGTACAGCTCCGTTTTCCGGGAGAAAAAGTTCATATGCATCTACTAATAACTATTTACTACGCAGCCAGATCAGATCATGCCAAACGTCTGCTGGCTGCTACCAATGATATTCACAACAGGGATTTAGTCAATTATTTAGTAAATTTGGTGAGTCAAATTTTTTAACAATGTGTGCTTTTTATTAAGATATATTTCTGTGCGTGTGGTTGCGATTAACAAATAATAAACTAAATGCTATGTACATAGATTATCTACATCAATTATAATATGCTCTTAAAGCGATTAGATCCTGTTTTATAATTGAAACATTATGAATTGTGTGCAGATAAGAATCAGTAAATATCTCTAAGAAGCATTCCTTCTAAAAATTAATTTCATATAAATATATTTTTAAAGATGACCCGAAATATATGGAAACAAAAGTATCTGGTATGTATGTACATACATACATATATTAAGTTATTTTTCTCATGGTGACAGTATTACTTATTTTGTTTTCTAAACCGAAGACCATATGTATTTTGTCTCTTATATGTAAATAATTTTAAGGCTAGCGTGAAAGAAAACAACAAATTAATGATTACCCTTGAAAATTCTTAATTCTGTAGTCATCAAAATGTACTTATAAATGTTTTTATTTTGGGAATGTATCCAGGCATTGCATTTTGAAAGTATCTACGTGCATACATATATTATCACAAATATACATATGTATCTATTTAGTTAATAAAGTGTTTTGCTTATTTACAATCTACAAACAATATTTCAAGTGCACTCTGCAAAAAATCATAAAAATGAGGTATATAAAGAGTATTATCATGTTATCATCATGCATATCTATGCCACCATGGGAAGACTGTGTAGGTTGGTTTAATTCAGTACAGATAATTAGCACCTTTCAATTATTCATCATCCATTGAATCTTGTACAACTGCAGTGGGTGTCGCAGCTTCTTTTTCTTGAAGTTTTCGCTGCTTTAATGCTGCTTTTCGTCTTTGATCCCGTACATATTTAAAGAAACGCATTGTTCGTTCTATGAAAAATTCGGTATCCATGTGTTGAAAACGTTGTAAGAAAACCTCTGCAATTATGCATAAAAACTTAGATCACAATGTTTATTCTTGCTTACAAACTAATAATAATATACCTTTGAAAATATCTGTAAAAATATAATCTTTTATTGCACGCTTATTCCTGCCAGTACCTCTAAATGAGTAATGCTGGGCAGCATCATTATGGAAGATATTGCGCCAAGTTTGTATAATATATTTTTCCGGTTCTTTAAAGTTGCTTTGCATCAGTTCTACACGCTTAGTAAATAAAAAATATTATAAATTGAAAGTCAAGAGCAAAGAAATACATCGCTTAGTTATATATGTATAATGCACTTACAAGTTGATCCCTTTGATCTTCGTCGTTTCTTAAAAGTATGTTCCAATCTTCGAATTGCTGCGCTTCTCTAAATGGTTGCGTAGGCATAACTCGAGCTTGTAAATTGAAGAAATCTAAAACTGGTCTTGGCGTGGCCACAATTAAGCCCGGCTCCACACGTTCCTTTTCTTTAATAAAATTGTCTTTGGCTTGGGGTGCATCAGATGATTTCGCTTTTTTTGTTTTTACACTTTCAACATTATCCGATTCATTGTTGTCTATGCGAATCGCAGGTTCTGATTTATCATTATGACTCCTACTCTTATTAACATCTAATACTTCAAAAGATACACTAGTTGTGTGTGAATCCTTTGTTTCAGTACTACCCACCAATACATCGACAACTTCACGTCTTAAACCAACAATTTCCTTTCTTATTCGATAAAATAACTTCTCAAAACTTAAACGCATAGATAGAAGTTCCTCCATAACTTCATCACAACAATTACAGCGTGGTGGACTGCTGGTAGTAGACATTTCAACTGAAATCAATAAGAAATATCTTACGTCAATAACTCTGTTTAATGTGTGTATTACACACTTATGTTTATTTATAAATAAATGCGTATAGTAATGACCGCGTTCGTATGTATATTTAAATAAGTTAGTATGAAGTGTACACACCTATGTATGCATATATAGGCATACACTAATTAAAGAGCTAATCAAGCTTTGTTACCTTACCGCTCTATGTATATGGATGTGCAAATTTTGAGCGAATTGGAAAATTATGTTTATTAATTTATAGTCACAAAAATACTGAAAGGCACATTCGATTTTTTTTAACTGTGTGATATATCTATATTATGATTACAATTTGTTTTTTTATATATTCTGATTTGGCGCACAATATTTATTTTTGAAACTCGCTCCAAATCTCCACACGTTTTCTTCATGCTCTCTTGGTTGCTCTTGACGCTGTACAGAGCGCTGGTATTTTCTTCTTTTCATTCTTCTTCCTGTTCCTACAAACAATCGCGTTGCCATTGTGTGAGTAATCAAGATTTCTTTAATATCTCTCTTTTTTTGCAACATATTTTAATGGAAGTATATTTTATATATGTAGCTGTATTTTTCTTTGGTTTTAGGAAAAATCTTATACTAAGAATTACTTATTTTTTATTGTTAAAATATAACTATAGAGATGTTTAGTTTCCTTATAAGTAAAGTTGGCAACTCAAAAATTAATTCCTAACACGAATAAAAGAAAATGAGAATAGTAATCAGATGTCTGTCTCCATAATTCGTCACAAACCGAGAAATTCTGAATTCATTTCAAATAAACTCATCACAAGGTGAGAATATTTAACGTAGAAAAAGGAAAACCAAAGAAACCAAACTATAACTAATGCTATGGCATTGTTTTCAGAATTACAGTTTATTGAACATATTGCATTAGTGTTTGTGTCTATCTAAACATTAGTCTTCATAGTTACATCTCTAAAGTAGTTTACAATACAACACGTAAGTAGCGATTTAAATAAATTTCCTATAAAAAGATATGAAGCGATGATTGACATTTTATTAATAACATCCTAGAAAAATGCCAAAACGCTGTGAAAGTTGCAATGAAATTATGGATGAGCTTCTAACAATGCGACAAACATTCGAAAGAATGTCTAAAAAATTAACCAAAGAAATAACTGACCTGCAGCAAGAAGTAACTGATGCTATGAGCAATACAACATGAGGAAAAGCACAAATTACTGAAGAGAATAGTAGCTCAGTTCCAACTGAGCCACCTACAAAAGTGAAGTGTTGCAATGTCGATAAAATTGAATATAAAAGTGTAAAATCAAAAGGAAATAAAAATAGCAGGATTCCGAAATTTGGGCCTGATAATACTGAGTCGGGGGAAAAAGAGCCAAACAGAATAAAACAAGTAAATCTAATAGAACGACCTTTATTGAAATTGCATAATATACAAGCTCGTGTCATGCCCACTCATCCCTTCGAAACAGCACAACAATTTGAGGATTGGCACGATATTCTAAAAGAGAACAAAGAATTATGTGAAAAACTGGTGCGTAAATAAAAAATTTCATTACCATGAAAATTTTAAAAAGAAAAAATTTATAGAAAGAAGAGCTTATTCAGGGGTGTCCCGTTGAACCACATAAATATATAAGAAATGTATGGCGCAGTATTTTCAAAAACGAAGCAGCTGATTGTTACTCGTACACCGCAAAAGGTCGTAGTAAAAGGCGTGCTATTAAGAAATATTTGTTTACCAACATTTTTCAAGGTATATTTTTACATTACATATATTACATCTATGTATATTCATATGAATGTATAAACATAAAGGAAAACTAAATGCTCGCATAATAATGTTTTTAAAACAAATCGTATTTATTGCTTTGCAGAAAGTTTCCTCAAACGTTTTCCCGGCATGGATGATATTTTCTTCATAGACAATACAATGCGCTTTTTCATCTATGAGCACAATGTAATGAGTAAAAGTTTGCGCAATAAACAAAAACTACAAACCGGCACGGAACCGAGAGTACAAAATGAGGCATTTACGGATGATGAAATGGAAGAACAAATTTTCAATGACTATGAAGATTCAATATTATAGGTTTTGTTGAAGATTTATAGAAATTCGCTTAAAATACTTCTCTATAATAAAAAATCAGAGCATATTATATTTAGTTTCCTTTTATTTAGATTTACATACTTAATGTACTGGTTAATAATTTTCATTGAAAGTATCAACTAAAAATTCAAACTCTTCACGTATATAATTTTGTATTTTGTGCAACGCCATCACTCGCAGAAGCTTAAGAAAGCAGTATAGTGGCTGTGGCGATAAAATCTTGCGGCCAATATCGTAGACACTATTATGTATTTGCTCCAAAATTTGGCTCTCTCTTTGGAAATATATCTGCCTTTTTGCCTCAAACGCTAATTATTAGCAATTGTTACTGGTCAGCATTGTGCCGAACAGACCTAATATAAGCAGGATTTGGGTTTGTCTAATATATTCAGTTGGCAACTCAACAATTAGTTCGCAACGCGAATGAAAGGGAATTAGAATTGGAATGAAATTTCAGTTTCCGTAATTTGTCACAAAATATTGCCGGAAGACGGAAGAATTCTGAATTCATTCCTAAGAAATATTACAAATCTGTGTATATTAACCGTAAAAAAGGAAGTTCAAGGAAGCCAGAGAACAACTGATACTGTATTGTAATTTATTCGTTCATGTTTGTATGTAGTATTTATGCACATACACGTACAAATATAAAAGCAATTGTTTGTTTAGTGCTTATATAGGAACTATTTTTAAATTAACTTACTGTACATGCATACGTAAGTAGTAAACAAATATTTTTGTCATAAAATTATTTGAATTTCCGTCAAACAGTTTTTCAACGCCCTCCTAGAAAAATGTCAAAATCAACGAAAACTCCACGTTGCGAATGTTGCGATGAAGTAATGGATGAGCTACTCACAATTCGTCAAACATTTGAAAAAATGTTTCACAAATTAACTAAACAAATAATTGAATTGCGACGAGAGGTAACTGATGCCATGATCAACAAAACACAGGAAAAACCACCAACTTCTGAAAGGTACAGCAGTAGCCCCAATCCAACTGAACCACCTACAAAAGTGCCGCGTATCAATAGAGATGAAAGTATTACTAAAAACTTAGCATTAAAAATTAATAAAAATACTAAGATCCCTAAAAATGTACCTGATAATACTGACTCCGAACCCAAAGCGTCCGAAAGAGTACCACAAATAAACCAATTGGAACGACCTTTATTGCAATTATATAACATACAAGCTCGTGTCTTGCCCACACATCCATTCGATACAGCACAACAATTTGAGGATTGGCATGCTAAGTTAAGCGCGGACAAGGGAATGTGTGATAAACTGGTGCGTAATTAAAAATTTCAAGAAAATGATAAATTTTGAAATATAACATTTTACAGAGAGCTGAACTCCTTCAGGGGCATCTCATTGAACCTGAGCTGCATATAAGAACTATATGGCGCAGAATTTTCAAAAATGAAGCAGCTGATTGTTACGCCTACAGAGGAAACGGCCGCAGTAAAAAGCGTCCAATTAAAAGTTATTTGTTTACCAAAATTTTTCAAGGTATATTTTCTTTGTATTTGCATACACATGTAACGCGAAATGCTCTTGTAGTTATGTATGCAAGTTCATAAAATAAGACGCGTTTATTGCTTTGCAGAATGTTTCCTACAACGTTTTCGTGGCATGGATGATGTTTTCTTCATAGAACGTACTATGCGCTTCTTCCACAATGTGCACGGGCAAATGAGAAAAAGCTTGCGCGATAAACAAAAATTGCGAGACGTTAATGAACCTAGAGTTCAAAATGAGGCATTGACGGATGATGAGATCGAAATAAAAGACGTCCGAGAATATTCCAATGACAATGAAGACTCAATAATTTAATAAAAATGACACGAAATTGTTTTCAATGTGTCTCTACAATAAGAAACTCCGAAAATTTCATATAAAACTTCCATTCGGATTTATATGAGGTACTGTTTAATAATTTTAATTGAAACTTCCAACTTAAAACATAACATTCATATCCGTACTTTAATTTATGCATATATATGTATACGTATGCATGTATGAATAAAAAATGAAAGAAAACCTTTTAGGTGCATTATTTTTCAATAGCATACGTGAGTTAGTTGGCAACGCTGTTAATGCCTATCGAACTCATGAAAGAGGAATAACAAAAAGAAGTGAATGTCAGTTGGCTGCAGACTATTCTTGAAACAACCGCATAACATTGCTCACAATCAATACTGAAAGGGGCACTAAAGAAAGGTATAAGACTGTTCCAAAAATAAGTGTTTAGAAAATAGCCTAACTAGTTTGCTTACTAGGTATCTGTAAACAATTTGTTGTAAATATTACTTCTTTTAAAAATCATCATTGAAACATGCGTTGCTTGCATAGTTAGTTGATGAAATTCCACGAATTATTAAAGATTTTTTCCAATCAGTTATTTTATAAGGCTTCATAAACGTTTCTGGGTGCTAAATATTAACTTTTATGACAACTTTGTATGAGTTTTTAAGTGTTTTCAGGAAATTCCTATAAAATTTTCAATGAATTGTGCATACATAATTTATACAAACATACTTACACTCGTTGCATGTGCATATGTACAGACATAATTACATACATATGTGCATAAGGAATAATTGAAATATCATATGTGTATAGATACATACAAAATGTAATAAGTGCAAGATAGGGGTATTTAGAAGTACTGTGATGTGTGTATCTACCTGGTATTGGTGGCAAAAGTTTGGAGATTTTGCTAAGCATTGCTGGCTACCCTTAAGAAAGGACCACTACTGTTCCTCAACGCTACCCATATCATTTGTCGCGGGGCCAAAGTAATTTCTTTTATGTCGGCACAACTCTATTTCCGACTTTTGGCGGCAGTCATATGTGAAGATAAAAATTTAAGTTAAAGAGAAAACCTGCTCAAAATAAAACCATTCTTTACTTCCTTCCCACCATTAGTTGCTCANAAAATAGACTAACTAGTTTGCCTACTAGGTAGCTGGAAACAAGTTGTTGTAAATATTACTTCGTTTAAAAGTTCTTTTTATCATTGAAACACGCGTTGCTTGCATAGTTAGTTGATGAAATTCCCCGGATTATTAAAGTTTTCTCCATTTAGTTGTTTTATAAGACGTCAAAAGCGTTTCTGGGTGCTAAATATTAACTTTTATAAAAACTTTGTATGCGTTTTTAAGTGTTTTCAGAAAATTCCTATACAATTTTCAATGAATTGTGCATACATAATTTATACAAACACACGTACACTCGTCGCATGTGCATATGTACAGACATATTTACACACATATGTGCATAAAGAATAATTGAACTATCATATGTGTATGTAATAAGTACAAGATAGGGACATTTAGAAGTACTGTAATGTGTGTATCCACCTGGTACTGGTGGCGAAAGTTTGGAGATTTTGGTAAGCATTGCTGGCTACCCTTAAGAAAGGACCACTACTGTTCCTCAACGCTACCCATATCATTTGTCGCGGGGCTGTTTGTCTAACTTTACTCTCTTCAATTTACTTCTATCGCGATAATAAGAAAAAAATATCTATCAGCTGTCCGCTTGATGCCGCACGAGCCAATCACTCTCAAATTTTCAACCCTCGCTACGGTGACATCCTTTCTAATAATACATATAAGCGTTATATATATATGTATATATATACTCGTATACTAATACATGTTTGATAGTCCGTCAGAAACCCCCTAGCTCGCATGCAAAATAAGGGAGTGTATACATTTTATGGGCGCAGGATAAAGCACATAGCTGGCAAAAGGACTCTTCAAACATAATGCATATGTACATACATACAAATGTGTTTGTAAATACAAACATACAGTGTGCATTTATTGCAAGCGCACGCTCACGAAATGTTATTGAATTTTCCCAACATCTAAAAAGGATATGCGTAGACTGTGTAAACAGTTCGCTTTTTGTCCTCATGAAGTTTAGAGCCATACAACCGACGTCAGAAAATGAATGCTGAGCGTCATCGGTATTTAATACTAATGGAATTTAACAAAATAAAATAAATATACATACATATATTTTTATTTAAAATTGCATATTTTTAGTAAGCGTAAACGTTTATTCGAATCGGCTTGGCCTGGTGATAAATTTTGGAGGGGTACCAGTACGACGGCCATTCCATGGTATATTTGATATGCTCCGGTGAGTTTTAGGCATCTTACATACATGTGGATATTGGTATAAAATAATAACAAAATAAAATAAAAAAGTAATGGAGAAAAAATGTAAAATTAAAAAGAACAAAAAGTCAAAATAAAATAAAAAACCTAAAATTTAAATTAAAAATTTAAAAGAAAATGAAAAAAATAATAATAAAAGTAAAGAAATAAATAAATTTGAATAAAGAAATTAAATTAGAAAAAAGTCAAACAATAAACAATAAAGTTAACAAATAAATTAAATAAAAACGAAGGAAATAAACTAAAAACAAAGAAAAAATATTATAAAAGAAAAAAAATTTAAAAAATAAAAAGAAATAAAATAAAAGCAAAATAAAAACTCTAAATTTAAATAAAAATAAATAAAAAATAAAATAAAAAAGAAAAGTTGAGAAAACTTTAATATTAAAAACAATAAAAAGTAAAAAAAATAAAAATAAAAAAAGTAAATAAAAAATAAAATAAAAAAGAAAAGTTGAGAAAACTTTAATATTAAAAACAATAAAAAGTAAAAAAAAATAAAAATAAAAAAAAAGAAAATAAAAAAAAATAAAAAAAAAAATTAAAAAAAAAATTAAAAAAAAAATTAAAAAAAAAAAATAAAATAAAATAAAAAAAATTTAACTAAAAATAAATATATATATAACATAGAAATAAAATAAAACAAAACTTTTGAAAATAAATTAAAAGTAAAAAAAATAAATTAAATTAAATAAAAACAAGAAAATAGCAAAATATATAATAAATACGACCAACGATTTTCAGTGTCAACAATTTTCGACTTTACGTGTGTAGAATACCAAGTTTTACGGTCTTACATGCTATTTTGATATATTTGGAGACCAAAAACTCAGGTCTGAATAGAATCGGTTGTATAGGGTTATATAATATAGTCTTCCAACGTTCCCGGTTCCGACCAGTGATCAATGCCAAGTGAAAACTCATCTGCGTACAAAGTTTGGCTGAAATATCACAAGAACACGCAAACTAGTGCGTGCAAACAGATGTTTCCTAATATGTTAAGTTGGCAACTCATGAATTAGTTCACAACACGAATATAAAAGAAAATAAGAATAGTTTTCAAATGTCGAGAAATTCTGAAATCATTTTAAATAAACGAATCAAAAAGGTAAGAATATTTAACGTAAAAAAAGGAAAACCAAAGAAACCAAACTATAACTAATGCTATGGAATTGTTTTCAGAAATGCATTTCATTCAATTTAATATTCGTATATAATTGCTTGAAGTATATTTGAACATATATTTGAACAAAGGCTTCATGGTTATATCTTTAGAATTTAATTTACAATACAATACGTAAGTAGCGATATAAATAAATTTCCTATAAAACGATATGAAGCGATGATTGACATTTTATTAATAACATCCTAGAAAAATGCCAAAACGCTGTGAAAGTTGCAATGAAATTATGGATGAGCTACTAACAATGCGACAAACATTCGAAAGAATGTCTAAAAAATTAACCAAAGAAATAACTGACCTGCAGCAAGAAGTAACTGATGCTATGACCAATACAACACGAGGAAAAGCACAAATTACTGAAGAGAATAGTAGCTCAGTTCCAACTGAGCCACCTACAAAAGTGAAGTGTTGCAATGTCGATAAAATTGAATATAAAAGTGTAAAATCAAAAGAAAAAATGAATAGCAGGATTCCGAAATTTGGGCTTGATAATAGTGAGGCAAAAAAGCGGATGATGAAATGGAAGAACAAATTTTCAATGACTATGAAGATTCAATATTATAGTTTTTGATAAAGCTTTATAAAAATTCACTTAAAATATTTCTCTATAATAAAAAATCAGAGCATATTATATTTAGTTTCCTTTTATTTAGATTTACATACTTAATGTACTGGTTAATAATTTTCATTGAAAGTATCAACTAATAATTCAAACTTTTTTTCACGTATATAATTTCGTATTGGGAGTCAGAGATGTGCTATTATTCATTGAAAAGAATTGTTGTACTTTCAGTATATTACAATGCCAAGAGTTTGTCGATAAGATGAGTTGGAAAGTTTTATTTTTCGATTCTTTTTGCATATAACCCAAACATATTCAGCAATAGCTTTATTTTGTTTTTGAAAGAATACTGTGTGTATGCACATACATGTGTATGTATGTATTCATAAAAAAATTAATTAAAACCTCTTAATTGTATTAGTTTTTATAAACATTCGAGAGTTAGTTGGCAGCGCTGTCAATGCTCATCGGAACTCATGAAAGAGGAATAAGAAAAAGAAGTGAATGTCAGTTGACAGCAGACTATTCTTGAAACAACCGCAAAACATTGCTCACAATCAATACTGAAAGGGGCACTAAAGCAAGGTATAAGACTGTTCCAAAAATAAGTGTTTAGAAAATAGACTAACTAGTTTGCCTACTAGGTAGCTGGAAACAAGTTGTTGTAAATATTACTTCGTTTAAAAGTTCTTTTTATCATTGAAACACGCGCTGCTTGCATAGTTATTTGATGAAGTTCCCCGAATTATTAAAGTTTTCTCCATTTAGTTGTTTTGTAAGACGTCAAAACCGTTTCTGGGTGCTAAATATTAACTTTTATAACAACTTTGTATGAGTTTTTAAGTGTTTTCAGAAAATTCCTATACAATTTTCAATGAATTGTGCATACATAATTTATACAAACACACGTACAATCGTTGCATGTGCATATGTACAGACATATTTACACACATATGTGCATAGAGAATAATTTAACTATCATATGTGTATGTAATAAGTACAAGAAAGGGACATTTAGAAGTACTGTAATGTGTGTATCCACCTGGTACTGGTGCCGAAAGTTTGAAGGTTTTGGTAAGCATTGCTGACTACCTCAAAGAAAGGACCACTACTGTTCCTCAACGCTGCCCATATCATTTGTCACGGGCCCAAAGTGATTTCGTTTATGTCGGCACAACTCTATTTCGGATTTTTGGCGGCAGTCATATGTGAAGATAAAAATTTAAGTTAAAGAGAAAACCTGCTCAAAATAAAACCATTCTTTACTTCCTTCCCACCATTAGTTGCTCACTAACCATTTTGCAATTGCTATTTTGATTTGAATGTTGAAAATAGAAAAATGCCAAGATCGACGGGAAATCCACGCTGCAAATGTTGCGATGAAGTTATGGAAGAGTTATTGACCATGCGCCAGACATTTGAGAAACTTTTCCATCGTTTAACAAAACAAATTGTTGATTTGCGACGTGAAGTAACCGATGGTTTGGCTAGTAACCATAACAGTGGAAAATCTTTGAAAAGAGAAAGTAGTCTCAGTCCTACTTTATCATCGCCCGCATCGAAATTCAATCGATTTGATAACAGTGATAGTGAGACTGAATGCATTAAATTGAAGACCGATAAAAAGGCATCCACTTCAAGGAATACACATGCAAGCGTTGAAGAACTTAAGGATCCAGTTGAAGTTAAAAGTGTGAGCACCAAAGTAAGTCGACCTATATTGGACTTTTACAATTTACAAGCTCCCGTCATGCCCACACAACCATTCAAAACCGCACAACAATTTGAGGATTGGAATGCTATTTTCAAAGACGATGAGGATCAGTGTGATCAATTGGTGTGTATTATGAAATCATATGAAGTAACAAATAAATAATGTATAAAAACTCTTTGGAAATTACAGCGAGTTGAATTGCTACAAGGACATCACGATGAACCGGATAAGTATATAAGGCAGATATGGCGCAGCATTTTCAAAAATGAAGCAGCAGAAAACTATTCGTATAGAGGCATGGGTCGATGTAAAAAACGCGCTATTAAGAATTATATATTCACAGATATTTTCCGAGGTATGCAATGTGTAAACTGAGAACTCGCACTCAGCAAAATTATTATATTATTATATTATTTTTTACTTAGAGTGTTTTCTACAACGTTTTCATCATATGGATGCGGATTTTTTCATGGAACGTACAATGCTGTTTTTCAATTATGTACATAATCATATGAGAAAGAATATGCGCAATCAGCAGAAGAAACTTGCTAAGGGAAGTAACAAGAAAAATGAAGACGACATGCCAAATGAGCATAGCTTCGGCAGCTATGATTGAGCCATCGTCATTGCCGTAATAAATCTAATTTAGTATTTAAAATGGGTTTTAAAAAATATCAGATTTTATATGCGTGACAAAGAATTTTTAGATTTAAGTTTGTCTTGTAAAAGCCTGCGAAGTTCGGTTATGTAAATACAAATCATTTTCTGGATTATTTTTATAAATAACTATAATTAATATTGAAAATAAAAAGCTGTCATTATATGAATTTTTCTTTTTATACTTAGATATAATATTACTATACAGTTCTACTGGTAAAAACAAAAACTAAAACTGACTTATTATGTATACTATACAAATGTTTCAAGTTGACTCCGAACCTAAATGCGGCAGGCGCTTGACATTTATATCTTCATGTGTGTAAACATATATTTATATTATGTCTGTAGCGCCAAAGCAGGTGTGGAGCTAAGAAAGTTTCTGTTTGTCTAACTTTACTCTCTTCAATTTACTTCTATCGCGATAATAAGAAAAAAATATCTATCAGCTGTCCGCTTATGCCGCACGAGCCAATCACTCTCAAATTTTCAACCCTCGCTACGGTGACATCCTTTCTAATAATACATACAAGCGTTATATATATATATGTATATATATACTCGTATACTATTACATGTTTGATAGTCCGTCAGAAGCCCCCTAGCTCGCATGCAAAATAAGGGAGTGTATACATTTTATGGGCGCAGGATAAAGCACATATGCTGGCAAAAGGACTCTTCAAACATAATGCATATGTACATACATACAAATGTGTTTGTAAATACACATATACAGTATGTATTTATTGCAAGCGCACGCTCACGAAATATTATTGAATTTTCCCAACATCTAAAAAGGATATGCGTAGACTGTGTAAACAGTTCGCGTTTTGTCCTCATGAAGTTTAGAGTCATACAAACGACGTCAGAAAATGAATGCTGAGCGTTATCGGTATTTAATACTAATGGAATTTAACAAATAAAATAAATATAATAATTAAAATTGCTTATTTTTAGTAAGCGTAAACGTTTATTCGAATCGGCTTGGCCTGGTGCTAAATTTTGGAGGGGCACCAGTACGACGCCCATTTCATCGTATATTTCATATCCTCCGGTGAGTTTTAGGCATCTTACATACATAAGAAAAATTTTGTAAGGCTTTTGATTTACGAAAATCAAATTAAGAAAATTTAATTTTAAATGAGTTCTCAAAAGTGAATAAGTTCCAGTAACGAGTCCTTACTTAATGTTTAGAGCTACGTGCGTATATATATATCGGAAAATATTGTTATTACATGATTTCTTTCAGCATGATTCTATATATATGTGAATATTTCCCTATCGAGAGGAAGCAATTTGGATGAAACATAGCTAAAATTGTGGTATAAAGAATGTGAAATAAATTTACTTCAAGTTAACATTTTTTCCCCGTGACATTTTTATTTTCTTGTTCAACTTCGTGGTTCGGTCATGTTTATTGGTGCTACAGGAATTATATATTCAGTTCTCTTTTTCAAATACAGTTAACATGTTGTCACATTTCGGCGAAGAATTTTTAAACCAGCTTAAAATGTCTAATTATGATTAAATTGAATTTAAACACCTCAAAATTATATTAAAATTTAAATAAATAAAATAAAAATACAAAACAAAATGAAATAAGGGAGAAAAGAAATATAGAAGAAAAATATTTAAATTAAAAAAAGAGCAAAATAAAAATTAACTGAAATAGAAAAAATAAAAATCAAATAAAAAAAGTATACTAAACTAAATTAAAAAATGTATAATAAAACTAAGAAATAGGATTTGTTTAATTAAATAAAAATAAAAAAGATAAAATATAAAAAGACCTAACAAAATATAGAAAAAAGGGATGTAAAATAAAAAATAATAATAAAAAGTAAGAAAAGAAAATAAAATAAAACAAAGAAGAAAAATAAAGTGAAAATAAATAAAAATAGAAAAAGGGAGAAAAAAACTAAAATCAGAAAAGTTAAAGAAAAATAAAATAAAGATAAAAGAGAAATAAAATAAAGATAAAAGAGAAATAAAATAAAATAAAAATAAAATAAAATAAAATAGAAATTAAAGAAAATAAAATAAAAAGAGAAATAATATAAAGATAAAAGAGAAATAATATAAAAATAAAAGAGAAATAAAATAAAAATAAAAGAAAATAAAATAAAAATGAAATAAAATAAAATAAATATAAAAGAAAATAAAATAGAAATTAAAGAGAAATGAAATAAAAATATAAGAGGAATAAAATAAAAACAAAAGAAAAAAAAAATTGAAATTAAAGAGAAATAAAATAAAAATAAAATAGAAATGAAATAAAAATACAAGAGGAATAAAACAAAAATAAAAGTAAATAAAATAAAAATTAAAGAAAATAAAATATAAATTACAGAAAAATAAAATAAAAATATAAGAGGAATAAAAGAAAAATATAAGAGAAATAATATAAAGATAAAAGAGAAATAATATAAAAACAAAAGAGAACTAAAATAGAAAGAAAAAAAATAAAATGTAAACAAAGAAAGTAAATAAATAAAAAATAGATGAAAAATGAGAGGAGAAAAATAAATGAAAAAATATAATAAAAAAATAAATAATAAAAGTAAGTTAAATAGAGAGAAAGGAATATGAAATGTCATATAAGAAAAATAGAATAATATAAAATAAAGAAAAATAAAATAAAATAAAAGCAAAGGCACAGTAAAATAAAGAAAAAGAATAAAAAATATATAATAAAACGAATTAAAAAAGAAAAAGAGAGAAATAGATTACAAAAAATAAAGCTAAAAAAAGACTTAAAAAATAAATAAAGTAACATAAAGAAAATAAAGTTTAAAAAAAATATAAGAATAAAACAGTAAAAAGGATCACAAAAATTGAGTTACTAGTTTGTGTACCAACGGACGTTGAGGTCATCGCCCTGATCCAATCGTATTCTCTTTTCACCTTCTCGTAATTACATGTACGAGTACATCCGACTAAAGCTAATATAACATTTCATGTTCATGAAAAATATTAATATGAAATGAGATTAAATTAAAGTTGCTTAATATTGCTTCTTCATCCTCGGATCATATCGAAAGTCAAAACAATCTATCAATTCGCTGAAATAAATAACATTTGGAAATTAATATAAGTAAACTTTTTCGTACATTATTTGTGTGGTTTTTATTTGTATAGTTCATTTGTGTAGCGAAAGTAAATTCATTAAAATTAAATTAAATAAAACGTGTGTATTAAGCGAAAGAAAAACAAAACAACAACAAAGAAAAGCGACAGCGATTCTTTTGCGTGTGTTTTTTTTCTTACATATGATTTTCTTTATTTTCCTGCTGTAAATTTGCAAAAACCATAGCCAAACCTACTGATCAGTGGTATTTGCACTCTTCAAAAGGCTACAATTTGCCGGTCATTGTGACCTATTCTTCTATAAATAAATTCGTAATTAGTCATAGGGCATGCGATCGTGTAAGAAAGCGAACAAAGAATTTCATAGATGCAGTCTGAGAGACAGGCATTGATGTGCCCCATCGTCGCCATGTCCAAGTCAATTTGCGTTCTTCGGCCTTTGGCGGGGGTGTGGAGAGTTCCGCATGCAGCGTAAGAGCAAAGACCTTGACAATGAATTTGTTAAATAAACATATTAATTATGAATGCTCATATTTGCGTTTATCTTACATGCTTTTATACATGTATGGCTACTTTTTGCATATTGCATGTAATGAAAATATTTAAATTAATCGTGATTTTCATATGAAATAAGAATTTCTATGTTGAGTCATTAGCAACGTGAAAGTATATGAGAAATTGTTATTAATATGTTTATAAATATTTGATGTATTTGCAAAAAAAAAGACTTGTTTTTTTCTGCTTATGATGTTATTACTTTTTTTTTTTGCGTAGTCTTAGACAAAGGATGTTGTTCGCGAGAATTTATACCAGAATAAGTTTGTCTCTATGATTTTGCCTTTAGTGATTATATAATATTATATGTTGTTTTTGTAATACTACGTAATTGAGAATATCCTTTCTGATGTATCTTCTCTTCGACAACTCCAGTTTTGTTTATATTCATCCCAGCAATAATTGTAAGGCTCTCTCACCGGCAATTGTATCTTGCTGGCCACGAAGAGAAGGGTTAAAAATGATCATTCTAATGAAAGAGTATTTTGTTTTTAATATTTAACCTAGAATTTTTTTTTTTTAATAAATACTTAAATATCTTTAATTTCGTAGGCTCAGAAATATTTGTATTATTCATAATTTAAATTTTATTTTATTTAAATTTTTTTAAATTTGTCTATATCTTTTTTTACATTATATTCTTTTCATTTTATTTACATTTTTAAAATCTTTTAATAATTTTTATATATATTATATATATATATATATTTGTTTTTCCAAAATTTTTATTTTTAATTTAATTTTTTTTTACTCAAACGTCCCGTTTGACCGAAGAACGATGCTATAAAATTTTTTTTAATAATATTATTACATATTATATTTTTTATAAATTAAATTAACTCATAATAAAATACCAATAATTAAATTAATCGTCTTAAACTAATTTTTTTTTTAAACGATTAAATTAAATCTTTTTTTATAGAATGTTTCATTTATTATTTTTTTTTTTTTTAGAAATTCGATGCGGTCGATGGCCAATCCGTCACACCTCTCACCATGGCCGCCATGATGGGCAATGTGACGTTTGTAAAAACACTACTCACCCAATATGACATCGATTTGGAGCGTGAATGTAATGTCGTCTTCGATGGTCTATTGGTTTATGGCGCCACTGCGCTCTGGGTTGCCGCTGGCATGGGTCATATGCAGGTGGTGAAGATGTTGGTGCAACGCGGCGCTGATGTTAATCACAATACAAAGGCGCAATCATCACCGCTGCGCGCTGCATGTTATGAAGGTAAGTTGCAAGTAATTGCTGTTGTCTAACTACACAACACATCTGTATTATTTTCAGGTCGTCTGGATATTGTTAAATATCTAATTGAACATGGTGCCGATGTGAATTTGGCCAACACCTACAATAATACCTCGATTATGATAGCCGCCTACAAAGGACACGCCCATGTAGTGGACACACTGCTAAAGAATGGCGCTAATCCGAATGAGCAGGCGCTTTGTGGCGCCACGGCATTGCATTATGCCGCTGAGTGTGGCCACTTGGAGGTGTGTCGCCTGCTGCTCGAACATGGTGCACGCATGCAAAAGAACGAACACGGACTGACACCCGTACTGCAAGCTGCCGAACGTACACATGAAGCGGTAGTGGAAATGTTTATATCACGTCCGGGACTAATGACGAAAGAGGAGGTGTGTGTGTGTGTGTGGCTTACTGCTGATTAGTAGCTCAAAGCATTTAAGTAATTTTTTTATTCATTATTTCCTAATTTTGTGCCTTTCTATGCCAAACAGATTATAACCGCTATCGAATTAATGGGCGCCTCATTTGCCAATGATAAGGATAACTATAGTGTAACAAAAGCTTACCAACACATGATGCGTGCAATGGAAATGCGCTACTCAGATGAGCAGAAGGTGATACGTAAGCGTGTTATGGCCCCAGTGCCCGCCTATGATGATTGGTTTGAAACTGAGAATATACCAGAACTGCAGGCTATACGACTGAATCATCATTCGATACATATGGAGGCATTAACGATACGCGAGCGTATTTTAGGCAAACACTATCCCGACTTGCCGCAACCGATTGTCTATCGTGGCGCAGTGATGGCCGATCAAGGACGTTTTGCACAGTGTCAAATATTGTGGAATTATGCCATCGATCTGCGTATGATCAACAATGTGTGTGCCGTTATTGCAGTAAAAAACAGTATTCTTCATTATTATATATTTTATTATTTATTTTTAGGTTTCTGTCGAACGCGATTTGCTACGTTTCGCACAACTGTTCTCACAAATCCTACGTTTGGAGGAACAAACTTTGGATCTTTCAATTGTGTTATCTGTATTGGTTAAGTGTCAGCAAGAAATCGAGAATAATAAATATAAAATAGTGAATCCAGGACCGAAGGATGTGCCGCAATTGTTAGCGGTAAGTTAGAGTGATGATTATAAATAAATTTACAAACTAGTTGAAGAACCCAAATGTGCTGGACATATGTTTCGGGAAGCCATAAAATACAATCATAGGAATTTACTTTTGAGATCCCAACAAAAGATTTTATTCATTTGTCTTTTAAATGTATGAAAAATTGTTTGTGAGAAAGATGGTCTTAGTCCGATCTACATCCAAAAATGATAGAAAATTAATGAAATTAAATTTTCTAATTGCCATCATCGGTATTTATGACTTGACAAATGGGCTACCCATAAAAGACCATCAGCTGTGCGGAGGCGGTTTAGTATAAACAGTAGGTTCTTGGAAAAACATCAAGACGCACAACAAAATTTGGTGGAGGAGCATGTTGCTTTCATTTCTTTTCAGGAGATCTTCAGCACTTCGTTTTTTTATAAATACATATATTGCCATATCGTAATGATTTCGGTTTCACGTTGGCTGTTATTGTAGCCGGAAGTAGTTCAAACCACTTTCTGAGTAATTTACAAACTAGTCAAGGAGCTTTTCAAGACTTTATACTGAATACTATATTTCTGAACTGATGCAATGTAGAAAACTTAGTTCCTTTTGTAGCGTTTCAAAGATATTTTATGTATTAATTGGGTACCATTACGGATCAGTTTGGTACTAGTTTGGGCAGGTTTTTGTGAAATGATGGATTCACAGCCAATTTCAAAAAACTGACCTTTTTTGAATAATTATTTTTCTTAATTAAATTTTAAGTTAAGCATTAAAAATTCGAGACACTGGCTTAACTGAAGAGATTTTGTTTTGAAGATTTTATTCAAAACTGAAATTATTAGAAAGAATTTTATATCGAATTAATGTTGGATTTCAAATAATTATTCCAATTTAAGAATCACTTCAGCGAAATTAATTTAAAAAAAAAAAAGAAATAAAAAAAATAATTTCATTTCTCAGGATCAAAATGAACAAAATGTCATCACTGCCCTCTACCTCATCAAGATTATAACGAAACTCTTAGCACACACCAATATCGATATACAACGACAACAAATCGAGCAATTATACTCAACCATATTGAAATTCATCAAATGTGATACGCGTTTAGCGGATGGACAGACCCTGTTACATTTGGCTGTTAATGGCGTAACGGCTGTGGACGATTTCTATACAAGTGATATTTGCCGGTAAAGAGATAAAAAATACAATAATAAAGCAACAGTTTTGCAAATATTTCATTTAATTGAGACATTTCTCGTTCTCCTATTAGCTTTCCTTGCTATCGCACCGCTTTGCTGTTGGTACATGTTGGCGCATCTGTTACGGCTGTGGATCGTGAACGCAATACACCGTTGCATACGCTTATATCCAGCGTAAGTTTACATATTTAATTATTACACGCTGCTTAAACATTCCCTGCATTCTATACAGATGCAATATCCGCGCGACAATCCACATGTCTTGGCACAAGGCGGAAAGATTATAAAACTGTTTGTAGATGCTGGCGCACATTTGGATGTTGTGAATGCGAGTGGCTTGACGCCAGCCCAAGTTGGTAATGCAGGTTGGTGGTATAAAATTAATTTCAATCAAATAAAATTTTAATTTTAAATTTCTCTACTTGATTTTAGCTGGCATTAGTAATATAATACTAGGCTATCAGAACTCGTTAACCTCCTTAAAATGTATTGCTTCACGTTGCATTGTACACCACAAGCTTAAATACAAAGGTTTAATACCCAAAGCATTGGAAGCATTCATACAAATGCATAGTGCCGAGGAGTTTTGTGCGTAAAGATTGTTGCATAAACACTCTGAATTACCGGGCTGTGTACTGCAGAGATGTGCAGAGTTCAAAAATAGAGTGAGAGAGAGATAGAGAGCTAGCGGTTGAGCTGAGTTAACACTAACAACTTCCGCTCTTTGTATATTTATGTAATTTTGTAAATTCGAAATCGAATATTTATTTTTAATTGAAAAAAAAAACAATGCATTGTTGGTCACTAGTTAGCTAACAAGATATTATCGTACTATGCAACTTACGATCCACAAATAGGAAAATTGATTTGAATATAATTTCATATATTTAATTTTCATGTGAAATACGGAATCAACTGCAAGTCATTGTTAATGGTTGTTTCTTTACGAAATAAGTTTTTAGTTTTAAAATAAATTTTGTTAAAAAAATATATAAATATTTATACATGTGTGTGTACATATAAACAAATATATTTGCCCCAGTGTATCTGAAAAAACGTGGACTGAAATTTTAAACTGTACATACTTACTTACATATATGAATATATGAATATGTATACTCATTTAATGCGATTTATGTTTACGAATCAACTAATGCATATTGTTAAAGGAAAATAATTTAATTGATGGAATAAAAGAAAGATTTAAGCATGATGAGGAATAATTGAAGATGTGTTTATACTTTTTAAATCGTAGTAAAAACCAGATGATTGAGGTTTAAGCTTTATAAAAGACCGTCACAAAAACAGGCAGGCCCAATCATTCTTTTTATGCATTCAACAGTCTAACACTTACGTTCAGTTGCTTAATTTCTACACTTTTCAACATTATAATTTCTATTCAATTACTCTTCTTTATTAGACAGCACAATCGATAGTTTATACATATTTAAGTAACATTTAACATTTATAAAAAATTTTTTTGATTCTCTCTTTTTTGTTGTTCTTATAATATTTTTATTTTTATTTATTCAAAATTGTATTAATTTAAGTATAAAATCACAGTTAAAGGTTTTGTATATATATAAAATATATACATAACATATGTATGTATATGTTGACGCACATGCGCATGCCCCTCGCAGTGCGTTCGCACTAAATTCAACGCGTGAATGATGTACAAAAAGACTTTTTTGTTCTTCAACCAGCAATTCGTTGCTACGATTTTCTACTTGAGGAGGCAAACACTCGATATTTGCTGCTTGCGTTAGGCGAGCCAGTTAGTTTTTATATATTTGCATCGCTCACTTTACTCACACTCTGATGCACTTTGGGATACACCTCCGGTTGACGCATAACTTCTTCATATGAGGGCGGCGGCGCTGAAAAACAAAAATAAAAACAAGAAAGTTGAATTAAGTACACTATAAATAATATTTAATATTGTTCTTTTCATATCATTTTTCTTTTATTTTACTTTCCGCTCGTGTAGAAACTTGTGTCTGTGCGTTTTGTGCCGTATTATTATCTGTAAAAGTATACTTTTAGGCGATGTGCCTTGTTAAAATATTTTTTTTTACATTTCCTACTTACCATTGATTATGTACTCCTCATCGTGCATATAAGCTGGGTTCACAATCGCATCTGTGGGATATGTCGTCTCGATTGTACGCTCATCCGGCAGCGTTGAGCGGTGTGAACGATTTGAGTATCGACGTAAACTGTTGCTGCGCTGATGATATGTGTCTAGAAATTGTTCTTCGTTTTCCATCTCTTCGGGTGGCAATTGAATGATGTGCACAGAGGGACGACGATCTGGGGATTAGTGAGGAAACAGTTATTAGAAAATTGCGTTAGTTTTGGAAATAATTTAATTTAAAAATTTGATAGTTAAAAATGAATAATTTTTTCCATTAATACTTTTCGCTACTAAGTTATATGTATTGTGGAAATGGTTCTTCAATTAAAATCATTCCTAAACCTTTTTAGTGGTATAGAGCGTTCAATAGCGTCATGCATGTCGAAAGAAAGATTAGGCCAATCTAGCTAGCTGTATGGTTCAGGCAAAGAGTTGGTCAAGGTCGTGCGGCGTTTCATTTTATGCCGGACCTATGTTGGCTATGCCGGGGTCAAGTCTGGATAAGTAGCAATTAAGTCGCCTACATTGTCAAGATCTTAATTTTGGTGGTATTTCTGATTTCTCTCGAAGCAGCTCCAGCTCTTCGCCTACAATGGGTGGTGATTGGGCGATAACCACTCTTTACTGGAAGAGAGTTCAAAAAGGTGTTAAAGAACTCTTTGTGCATGTGCACAGCGTGTCAAGCTCTTCTTGTACGTGGTGCTGAATGGAGTCCTTGTCAAGTCGAGTACCCCTTTGCTGATGTGCCTAGATGGTGGCCATTATTTCCATTCCCTTCGACTTCGAGCCGGTATTCCTCCGCTTAGCTGGTAAAAAGGAAGATCGATGGGATTTCAAAAGTTGTAGCTGTAAATGCCGTGCAGTAACGAAAAGGCAATGGTCGGTGAGATAGCTGTTTACTTTCGGATCTAAGTTATATATATTCTGACTAATTTCATTTCGAGCATCGTCGGCATAAGAGATCAACGAAACGCCCTCTGGTGGAGGAGGGAGTTTCGAGATGTAGATATTAAAGAAATGTGAGGAGAGGACACCACCCTACTGAAGCTCTTGTTTAATATTATGGAGTTTAGAAGTTTAATCTCGATTCTCTCTGTATTGTTGACCACTCAGGTTGCCCATGATCCCATGGTTGTGGTACTTTTCGGAAGCCATGCTGAGGTGACACTAAGCTCATATAGTGTGTGAAGGACGTAAGCAGGAAGGCCTCAATTTCAATCTTCGCTAGTGGGGAGACGAGAAAAACTTGCCAACAAGAGAGAATTATATCAGCATTAGGTGGTCGCCGAATTCAGAGTGCTACGCTCCCGCACACACTTTGGAAGGTGGTTGTCAAAGTGTCGATAACTTGCCGAAGAAATCATCAAGTAAAATGAGGGCAATGGACACATGAACCCATCGCAAAGATCCATTTGAAGTCAATTGTGGGCTCTCCTTGGCCGATGAGAAAGGAGGAAATTTACTTCTCCTAAATTAATTTTCTGAAAGCATATAACTCATAAGAGAATACAGTTTAATGAGAACTTGTATAAAATAAGAGTGCCACAGGGATCCTCCTAGGCGCAATATGAGTAAACATCATGTCCCTTTTTTGTATACTAGCATGTATGGCAAGGCGAGGGAGTGTGGGAAATTCATCTTTTAATCAATGCCCAACGGTTTCTCAATAATGGTGGCGATAAAAGGGATGTCTTAGCGCAATCCTCTACCGATGTTCTCAATTTTGATTTTATTTTTTTAAAATATCATTCGTCATGAAGTTAAATGTTGCCAAGCAATTCGGAAAAAGTCGGTGCCTACATTTAGGCGTGCTTTAGCAAAGACATGCACCTAGGAAAAGTGAAAAAAAGTGATTTGGGCGAGCTTACCTCATATGAGCTTATATTATTGCCCTAAAATATTTTTGCTTAAGATTTAATTTTTTATTTTGCTTCTTATTCAAAGGAATGGTTTTGTAAGAACTCAAAACAACAGTTTTTGAACACGCAAATAAAAAGTTCAGAAAAACTTTTAAGTTTTAAATGAAGAGCACAAAACGTTGTCTACATTTGGATGTCAAAGCCATGTAACTAGCAAATAGCTCAAAATTACAAATATATATGAATGTATGCATCCTCTAAAGATATTGAAGTCATATCACTCATAGCTCTATTTGAAAAAAAAAAAAATATTAATTTATAAAGTTCCAATACTTTGCATGAAAATTAAAAAAAAAACATATTTTTCAAAAGGCTTTCTAAAAAAAATTAAATTCATCTAAAAAGCTGAAAATACCTCGAGTTTTATTTTGAAATCCTTGCAATCAATTCCTATCTCAATAAAAATTTTATTGCTTCACACTTTCACTCACCCGTCGCAGTTGCGTCCGTATAATGTTCGCTGAAGGCAAAATGTGGTGTGATGGACTTTTTACACTTTAAAAATAATACAATCAGAATCCAACCGAGTATCAAAAATAGATATACAAAACCCAGCATACTCATAGAGCAAAAATTCGGATGGGAAAGTCACTTTCACTTTCACTTTTTTTAATTTTTTTAATTATTTTATTTTATTTTCTTCGTTTAAAGAAACTTTTTGAATTTATTTAAGCACATAATATACTCGAATAAATATATTTATTTGTTCACAACTCAACCAAAAGTTGCAATGGCCGCCTAATGGCCACATGAGTTAGTATGGCTGATCGACTTGGTCACACTAACTCTGTTCTAAATAGTTTCTTTCTTCAATTGTGATTTGGATTTTTAATGGCCACAAGTCAAAATTATAAAGTGAAAATCGATAATTGGCAGAGTTAATTGTAGTTGGCGCGCGCGACATTAACCAGCGACATTATTGTGACCGAATACGCTAACAACGTGGCCCGAACTGACTGCTGACCGCAGTGTCGTACGCAAGGATATTTGGCTTGGTCAGCGCCGCTCGACTACTTCGTTGTTTATACATATACATACATATACGAGTATGCAAGTTTGTGTAGATATGTTATATTTTTTACTCAGCGCTAGCTGCCATAGTCACTAACTTGACTTGGCTATGGTGATATCCTTGTGTGACCATAACAATAAAAATGCTAGGAAAAATATAGAACAAATAACGGTATAAATGTAGAAATGCACACAGGGAAATACAAAAATACTCGTGTGTCAATGATTCCTTAAGCCAAAATGTGGGAGTGTACTTCTACGCTTATGTTTGTTTGGGTGTGTGTTTGCAAATGTTCATAATTGCGTGCGACATGTGAAATACTGCTAATCGCATTTAAATGCTGGCTTGTGTGGGTATGTGTGTGTCGCGCAATATGAGGATAGCTAGACAGTTTAGCTTCCTTGAAATGGGCTCACCTCCATATACACGCATAGCTTGCCAAAATTTAAATCGGCTTGTAAAACTTCTAGTTCAAAACTGGTGTTTTAATGATGAAATCGTACCAGTCCGTTTCGGTGCAGTACTTCATCAGTACATCAGAGCTGTGCTAGTGGTTGCCCGTGGCATGCATCAGACTAACGGTACGAATATCTCTGTAGGCAAAATAGAAGTAGAAATTCAACAAGCATAAGTGCGCCCGCAATAGCAGAGTGGTTAGCGTTGCGTACTGCCATTCTGAAGTTCTGGAACCGGATTCCAATTCGACTAAGATCCAAAATTATAGAAAATCATTTCTTTATTGCGATCACCCACTCGACAGGTGACCGCAGGTGACTTGTCGTGTAGTTAGCATTTAGCGCACTAGCGTATAGCCATTTGGAAGCCCAGGGTTCAACTTCTGATACGACCAATATCAAAAGTTGTAGAAAATTGATTTAAATAAAAAATAAGTTAATTGTTTTTTAATTGAGGCCGCTCCTCGGCAGGGATTATCAAAACCTTCGAGTGTACTTCTGACATGAAATAAAAAGCTTCCCATTAAAAATCCTTAGTCGTTCAGAGGCGACTTCAAGACGCCAATTATATATTTATAGGTGAACTAGTATTTAACTAGTATGCATGATACAATTGACAGTTCGTACACATGAACATGGCTAACATAGAAAAGTGATGTAATACGAACTAGTCTGCATAAAAATGCAAACTGGTAGCCATCTAGTTAATATCTAGTATCTTTCTCTGCCAGATACCTCGACTTGTGTGCGCTCATATGTACGTGTATGGACATATGTATGTTTTTGCATATGAATATTGACTTGTCTTTTCCCAGACATTTGTATTTATAAAATTTTTAAAATTAGTAAATTTAACTTTGAAATTGAAAAATGTACGCAACACAAAGTGCGGAATGACGGAGATAGATATCACTTTTTTGTGTAAAAAAAAATGGCTTCAATTGTTTGGTTAGGCACGCCTAACTCTAACCGGCCGCATATTTATGTCATTAAGTAGGCTCAGTGTGCTACGCAATGAGTAGTAATACCAATTACGATTAAGCTCCCAAGCGCTCGTCGGGTATGTCGGGTATGCGTAAGAGTACTTCACTAGGTCAAGCTTATCACCCATAACCTATTTTGCTTCACGTATCGAATTATAAATAAAGTGGAACGGTTTAGTGAGAACGTTGACAAGACGAAATATCTTCACACACCAAACAAACAGTGAGTGCATACGCGTTGTGCTTCCCACAACCCTGTTGACACTCTTAATTTTGAAGTCGTACATAATTTCGTCTACTTTGGGACTAGCATTGACACCGATAATAATGGCAGCAATGAAATCGAACGCAAACTCATTCTTGCCAACAGATGCCACTATGGACTGAGTACGTGATTGAAAGACAAACTTATCCCTCACCAAATTAAAATCAAACTTTTCAAGCCCCTCTACATTCCCGTCCTGCTGTGTGGTGCATAAGCGTGGAGGGGGTCGACATCCGATGAATCGATTATTGCAGTCTTCTAGGGAAACGATAAACTTTACGAGATATACGACACCATTGACATAGTTTAGCGAATTCAAAGACAGTGGCTTCGTTGGAAAATATCATATGGAGAAGAACTTGACCCTATTTGATGTCTCCAATTAGCACCGAGTGGCTAAGTGAATAAACGACATGCGCTGTTGCTAACTCGGTTTTAACACCGTAAGCCTACGCGATGCCAAAGCCAATAAAAATAAAGAAATAAAGTGGAATCACTCAAATGTTCATCAGAATAATTAGGAATGAGGCTCGAGACCGGCTTTTTCGAGAGCTAATTTGCCAAAGTCAAATTAAATTCGATTTCTCTTATCGGGAAAGAATATGATATTATATAAGTTGGATACTCATAAAAAAATCTCATTAATCTTTTCAGAATATATTATATACAACTGAAGCGAAGAAGCTTTCTGTGGTCTTCTTAAATTTGTGATGTGCATCTTGATGCATTTGCAAGAAATGCGGAAAAATACAGTTTTATATCATTTTTAGGGGTGGAATTCGAACCCATGTCTCTTCGCTTAGTAGTACCCACTGTTAACCACTCAACCACTGCGTCCACTAGAAGGGTCCGTAGCCCATCCAAGGACTTGGCCAATATAGACTGCTTAGTAGAGATCACAGGCGGTTTCAGGAGCGAGGAGTTATTCTCAATAACATCAAATATTTTCTTGAAAAATGCACACCCTTTTAAGTAAAAGTAATTTATTAAACATAGTCATTAACATGACAATTATGAGTGCCGTCACAAATTCTATTTTTGTTTTGCCCATACAACGTCATCAAAATACTAACTCATTTATTAGAATGAAAATATATATGTATATTTGTACGTGCGTTAGTGTGGTCATTACAGTTACGCAAAATAAATCCACCTACATACAGCCCGCCTACTTATTGCAGGTTACTAAAATACGGACATTCAAAATGTCAGCAATTTATACAAATAATAAAAAGTAAATGTTATACATTAGTCACTGGCAGGCCGAAATTAAGACGTCACGCGGTTAGGAACCGTTCCAAATTCTGATTCCATATATTATTTGGAGTATTATATATATGTACGTACCACAATGTGACGAAGCAGAGCACTTTGAAACAAAAAAAAAAAAAGAATTTTGACAGCTGGTCGGAAAGCTAGGTTAGCTGCAGAGAAAAGAAATGAAAATACTTTTTTTTTTGGAATCATTTAACTCTGTCTTAAACTTTTGTAAGGCATAAATTCAAAACAAAAAATCCGTTACAAAATTTTTTACTCTGCAACAAATCCCATCCAAGGACGACCGCACATTTGAACAGCTTTTTCTATAATTGGCATTCGCATTTATGATTCTCTTGTTAAAAATTCAATTTAAATCTTTAGTAATAAATTATTTTCTATATATATTGACTTTGGTGCGAAATATTTATGTAAATACCAGAAGGAGAAGGAAGAAAATTCACATCAGAACGATCATCTCCCTATATTTGTGTGTCTGTCTGCCTGTTTGGGCAACTGTTTAAACGCAAACTTTTCTCTCAGTTTTTGTGATATTTGAAATAGAATTAGTATGCATGTGTATTTTTACAATGTATTGATCATTTTTTGGAAACGGCCGACTCTATCTAATAGCCTTTCAAATATAATCTATCTATTTAGACATGAGCTTTTGGGTCTAAAATCTGTGAAAAACCAAACTAAGATCTAAAATTTGGTAATAAAATAAAATATAATTAATTAAAATAAAATTAAAAAAAAAATTAAATAAAATTAAATAAAATTAAATAAAATTAAATTAATTTGAATTAATGTAAATGAAATAAAATTAAATAAAATTTAATTAATGAAGTGAAATAAAATAAATTAATATTAATAAAGATAAAATATTATAATAAAAATAAAATGAAATGAAATTTAAAATGTGAAATAAATTAAAATAACATAAATATAAAATAAAAAGATAAAAATCAAAATATGATAATATAAAAAAAATAATATAAAATATAATAAAAACATAAAACTAAATAAAAAATAATTAAAAAAAAATAAAATAAATTAATATTAAATAAAATGATCTAAAGTTATATAGCGTAAAATAAAATACAATTAAATAAAATAATTTCAAGTAAAATTAACATAAAACTAAGTAAAATAAAATAAAATAAACTAAATTAAAGAAAATTGTATGAAATGAAATAGTGAAAATTAAATTAAAATGAAGGAAAATAAAATAATATAAACTTAAATAAAAAAAAAATTAAATTAAATTAAATTGAATTAAAAGAATTGAAATTATATGAAACTAAGTTAAGTTAAATAAAATAAAATAAAATATATCAATATAAAATAAATTGAAATAAAAAAAATAAAAAATTGAAATAATAAAAATAATAAAAATACAAAACTAAAAAAAAAAAACTAAGTAAAGAATTAATATAAAATTTTATAAAAAATATAAAACTAAACAAAATAAAATGAAATAAAATAAATTAATACTAATAAAATTAAAATAAAATGAAATCAAATTAAATACAATAAAATGAAATAAAAAATGAAATTAAATGAAATGAAAAAAATATTAAAAATATGAA